ATGTGCTCTGAATGTCATCTAAGTCACAACAATAGAAGAACACAGTCTGCTGAACATAATACTACACAAACATTAGATGTTGCCATGGTTTAATTGCACATAACATGTAAACATTCACAGTGCAGGGAGGAAAAAGTATGTGAGGCCCTAGCTTAATGACTTCTCCCAGAGCTAATTGGAGCCAGGAGTGAGCCAACCTTGACTCCAATCAGTGTGATGATATTGGATGTGTTGCTGACAGCTGTCCTGCCCTTAAAAAACACTCACCTGTTTTGGGTTTACTGGTTTCAAGAAGCACTGTCTGATGTGAACCATGCCTCGCAGAAAAGAGCTCTCAGAAGACCTACGATCAAGAATTGTTGACTTGCATGAAGCTGGAAAGGGTTACAAAAGTATCTCCTTGAGCCTTGATGTTCATGTGTCCACAGTAAGACAGACTGTCTACAAATGGAGAAAGTTTAGCACTGTTGCTACTCTCCCTAGGTGTGGTCGTCCTGTAAAAATGACTGCAAGAGCACAGCGCAGAATGCTGCATGAGGTAAAGAAGAATCTCAGAGTGTCAGCTAAAGACATACAGAAATCTCTGGCACATGCTAACATTTTTGTTGACACATCTACAATAAGGAAAACATTAAACAAGAATGGAGTGCATGGGAGGACACCACGGAGGAAGCCATTGCTGTCCAAAAAGAATATTGCAGCACGTTTGAAGAAAAGAGCACCTGGATGTTCCACAGCACTACTGGCAAAATATACTGTGGACAGATGAAACCAAGATTGAGTTGTTTGGGAAGAACACACAACACTACTGTATGTGTGGAGAAAAAAAGGCACAGCACACCAACATCAAAACCTCATCCCCACTGTGAAACATGGCGGAGGGAGCATCATGGTTTGGGGCTGCTTTGCTGCCTCAGGGCCTGGACGGATTGTTGTCATTGATGGGTAAATGAATTCCAGAGTTTATCAAGACATTTTGCAGGAAAACGTACGACCATCTGTCCGCCAACTGAAGCTCCGCAGAGGATGGGTGAGGCAACAGGACAATGACCCAAAGCATACAAGTAATCCAACAAAACAATGGCTGCAACAGCACAGAATACGCCTTCTGGAGTGGCCCAGTCAGAGTCCTGACCTCAACCCCATTGAAATGCTGTGGCATGACCTTAAGAGAGCGATTCACACCAGACATCCCAAGAATATTGCTACACTGAAACAGTTTTGTGAAGAGGAGTGGTCCAAAATGACTCCAGATCGTTGTGCAGGTCTGATCTGCAACTACAGGAAATGTTTGGTTGAGGTTATTGCTGCCAAAGGAGGGTCAACCAGTTATTAAGTCCAAAGGTTCACATACTTTTTCCTCCCTGCACTGTGAATGTTTACATGTTATGTGCAATGAATCCATGGCAACATGTAATGTTTGTGTAGTATTATGTTCAGCAGACTGTGTTCTTCTATTGTGACTTAGATGACGTTCAGAGCACATTTTATCCCCAATTCATGCAAAACTCCACATAATCCCAAGGGGTTCACATACTTTTTCTTGCAACTGTATATATATATATGCACACACACACATATGTACACACACACATATATATATATATACACACACACACTGTATGTTGAAATGCGTTTTTATTACAAAATATATGAAAAATACTTTAAAAAAAAAACACTGTTTTTTAAAAATCCAAATCTACATTTTTGGAATGAATTTACAAATATATGTAAACGTATATGTTAAAATAACTTTTTTATATGTGGAAAGAATATTATATTTGGAATAAAAATATTTTAAAATATATATATTTTTGTTTTAATATATTCTTCAGATTTTTTTTTTTTAACATGTAAAAAAGTCATTTTAATAATATATATTTTTACATATATTTGTAAATGCATTCCAAAAATGTATTTTTAAGACACACCGTATATTTGAAATTTATTTTTTTAAAATATTTTTCAGTGTGTCTTTAAAAATACAAATCTACATTTTTGGAATGCATTTACAAATATATGTAAAAATATATGTTAAAATGACATTTTTACATGTAAAAAAAAATCTGAAGAATATATTTAAAAAAATATATATTTTTAAAAATATTTTTATTTTAAATATATTCTTTCCACATATAAAAAAGTAATTTTGACATATACGTTTACATATATTTGTAAATGCATTCCAAAAATGTAGATTTGTATTTTTAAAAAACACAGTATATTTGAAATGTATTTTTTTAAGTATTTTTCATATATTTTGTAATATATGTTAAAATAACTTTTTTACATGTTAAAAAAAAATTTTGAAGAATATATTTAAAAAATATATTTTTTAAAAAATATTTTTATTTTAAATATATTCTTCAGATTTTTTTTAACATAAAGTAATTTTAACATATTTTTACATATATTTTGGAAATGCATTCCAAAAATGTAGATTTGTATTTTTAAAGAAACCGTATATTTGAAATGTATTTTTTTTTTAATATTTTTCATATATTTTGTAATAGTAGCATTTCAAATATATGTCAATATATTTGGGAAGAGTATTTTTAAAATATATTTTTCTTCCATATGGGTAGAGGACGCAGTATTCACAATGGCTGTTCAAATACTAAACCAGTCCTCATCAAATTTTTTTTTAGTTGCAAACAAACCCCTAAGTTGCTATATGTATCATAAACAATGGTCTATTTAAAAAAAATATTTGTTTTCCTCTTCTTCCATCATTTTGTTACATTTCAGTGCTGCCGATCTCCTGCGGCCTTTTCAAACAACATTCTTTCCACATGCACCTTGGTGATGGCTGCATGGTGACAACAGCAGAACATGCCTGTGCAATGAGCATGGTGGGGCCCTCTTGTAATCTCCATTGAAAACCCATGTGACAGGGTGACAACACAGGAGAAAAAATGAGTAATGGGGACAGAGCGTTGTCACCCTATAACAGGAAATGCTTTGGCAAGGACCTGAAATTAGCTTTGGGTTTTTTTTGCACTTCCTGTAAGAGGCCAAAGTGGCAGTTTACGGATACATCGACAGGCATGCTTACAATGGTCAGCTTTTACTAACATGGCTTAAAGAGACCCTGTCACCAAGCTAAAAAATTAAAAAAAAGCACAGAAATAGCAAGAATTGGAAATGCTTATTTACACTCCACTCCTGACCTCCCTACATAATGGAGCGGAATACTATAGGGTGTCACTAAACAGAGCTCTGAGTCTGCTGGGGCTTCTGACATCACATCCAAGATGGTGGCACCCACAGCAGCAGTCTCAGGGCTTTTTGGATGTCTGATACTGCTGCTGGACTCCGCCATCTTTGATGTGATGTCAGCCGTTCCAGCAGTCTCACTCAAGTCACACCTTTAAGCATCCTTTCTCAACCAGGGTCCATGGAACCCTAAGGTTCCTCCAGAGTTTGCTAGGGGTTCCTGGAGCTGTGGCTGCTTGGCCTCCCATTTGATGATGCTTGCAGAAATCTGAACCCTATGCCAGTTGACAGAGCCAACTGCATGACACCAATGGTCTTTATAGCGGTCTATAAGGGAGGCATTCTGACCACCATGGCATAAGGGGAATTTATCCCACCGATCTCCAACAAACTGATTTCAGAAGGGTTTCCTCAAGGCCTGAAAATTACAAATCTTCCTCTTGAGCAGAAAGGTTGAAAAAAAAGGCTGCTCTATAGAACCCCCTTCGCTCCCCTCCTGGCAGCTACAAAAAAAAAAAAAAAGGGTTATGTAGAGAGGGAAAGGGAGGGGCATAAGAGCTGTACCAGCACAGACCATAATTACACACTGTCAGAAGAGGAGAGGGCTACGTTGTGTAAGGAAGACGGGGACTGTGCTAGGCAGGGTAGTCGCATTCCTAGCAAATTCAAATCCCATTGCAAGTGAACACAAAATTCAGTGTTACTAAACCCCCGAACCCTGCATTCACTATATCCGCTCTCCCCGGACCCTGCATTCACTATATCCGCTCTCCCCGGACCCTGCATTCACTATTTTCCGCTCTCCCCGGACCCTGCATTCACTATTTCCGCTCTCCCCCGGACCCCGCATTCACTATATCCGCTCTCCCCGGACCCCGCATTCACTATATCCGCTCTCCCCGGACCCCGCATTCACTATATCCGCTCTCCCCGGACCCCGCATTCACTATATCCGCTCTCCCCGGACCCCGCATTCACTATATCCGCTCTCCCCGGACCCCGCATTCACTATATCCGCTCTCCCCGGACCCCGCATTCACTATATCCGCTCTCCCCCCCGGACCCCGCATTCACTATATCCGCTCTCCCCGGACCCCGCATTCACTATATCCGCTCTCCCCGGACCCCGCATTCACTATATCCGCTCTCCCCGGACCCCGCATTCACTATATCCGCTCTCCCCGGACCCCGCATTCACTATTTCCGCTCTCCCCGGACCCAGCATTCACTATATCCGCTCTCCCCGGACCCCGCAGTCACTATATCCGCTCTCCCCGGACCCCGCATTCACTATATCCGCTCTCCCCGGACCCCGCATTCACTATATCCGCTCTCCCTGGACCCTGCATTCACTATATCGGCTCTCCCCGGACCCCGCATTCACTATATCCGCTGTCCCCGCATTCACTATATCCGCGGTCCCCGCATTCACTATATCCGCTCTCCCCAGACCCCGCATTCACTATATCCGCTCTCCCCGGACCCCGCATTCACTATATCCGCTCTCCCCGGACCCTGCATTCACTATATCTGCTCTCCCCGGTCCCCGCCTTCACTATATCCGCTCTCCCCGGACCCCGCCTTCGCTATATCCGCTCTCCCCGGACCCCGCATTCGCTATATCCGCTCTCCCCGACCCCGCATTCACTATATCTGCTCTCCCCGGTCCCCGCCTTCACTATATCCGCTCTCCCCGGACCCCGCCTTCGCTATATCCGCTCTCCCCGGACCCCGCATTCGCTATATCCGCTCTCCCCGGACCCCGCATTCGCTATATCCGCTCTCCCCGGACCCCGCATTCGCTATATCCGCTCTCCCCGGACCCTGCATTCCCTATATCCGCTCTCCCCAGACCCTGCATTCCCCTTATATCGGCTCTCCCCGGACCCCACATTCACTATATCCGCTCTCCCCGGTCCCCGCATTCACTATATCCGGTCTCTCTGGTCCCCGCCTTCACTATATCCGCTCTCCCCGGACCCCGCATTCACTATATCCGCTCTCCCCGGACCCTGCATTCACTATATCTGGTCTCCCCGGGACCCCGCATTCACTATATCCACTCTCCCCGGACCCCGCATTCACTATATCCGCTCTCCCCGGACCCCGCATTCACTATATCCGCTCTCCCCAGACCCTGCATTCACTATATCTGCTCTCCACAATCCCCGGACCCTGCATTCACTATATCTGGTCTCTCCGGACCCTGCATTCACTATATCCGCTCTCCCCGGACCCCGCATTCACTATATCCACTCTCCCCCGACCCCGCATTCACTATATCCGCTCTCCCCGGACCCCGCATTCACTATATCCGCTCTCCCCAGACCCTGCATTCACTATATCTGCTCTCCCCGGACCCTGCATTCACTATATCTGGTCTCTCCGGACCCTGCATTCACTATATCTGGTCTCTCCGGACCCTGCATTCACTATATCCTCTCTCCCCGGACCCCGCATTTTTTGATTATCTGTCATTTTTTGTACTGGTGACAGGACCTCTTTAAACAACATTACTGGTCCAAGGATCGGTTCATACACTAAAGCAATGTAATGGGAGTGTTGAGCATCGTGGGGTGATCTTAGTTGCCTCTATGGACTGCATTTATGTACACCAGCAATTTGTCTACGCACTGTGTGATGTCACGCGCTGCCCGGTCTGGTCTGTTTTGTAAAAAAATTGTAAAATATTTTTTATGCGGTATTTGTGTACGCAGATTTAATTTTCTATCCCCGTTAGAATCATGTTGTGCTAGATATACCGGATCAGACTGCACTTTGTGCGTTCTTGTAGAAATGAAAGGTTTCAGCGTAGTATTTTTGTAAAAGGGATGACAAGTGCTCTTATGAGAGCCATGCAAGTGTTTGTCATGATTGGAAATCTTCGGCACTGCTATTTGTATTTACAGTCTAGTTTTCTATGTTGTCCTTTACACCTGTACAGTACAAACTACACCAGGAGAGGACGGTGTATGCACTACGTACAAAGCTGCTGGAGTAGTGTAGTACAGTGGTTCTCAACCACCGGGCCATGTCCCACTGCCAGGCTGTGGCCTTCCCTCTCTCAGGCCTCCAGCCACACCTACACATCCCTTAACCTCCCATAGTGTCCCCCAAACTAATATTGTGGGCCCACAGTGCCCCCTGAGAGCCCTCCAGCTCCACAAAGCCCCCCACTCTCCATAGTACCCCTTAACCTCCTATAGTAGCCCACAGTGCCCTTAGGCCCACTGAGAGCCCTCCAGCTCCACAGTGCCCCTCAGCCTGCTGCAGGGCCTCCAGCCTTCCATAGGACTCTCAACCTTTTTATATTGAACCACAGAGCCCCAAGGCCCCCTGAGAGCCCTATAACCTGCGGCAGAGCTTCCTGCTCTCCATAGTAAACCTCAACCTCCTGCAGTAGCCCACAGTGCCCTTAGGCCCACTGAGAGCTCTCCAGCTCCACAGTGCCCCCCAGCCTGCTGCAGGGCCTCCAGCCTTCCATAGGACTCTCAACCTTTTATATTGAACCACAGAGCCCCAAGGCCCCCTGAGAGCCCTATAGCCTGCGGCAGAGCTTCCTGCTCTCCATAGTAAACCTCAACCTCCTGCAGTAGCCCACAGTGCCCTTAGGCCCACTGAGAGCCCTCCAGCTCCACAGTGCCCCCCAGCCTGCTGCAGGGCCTCCAGCCTTCCATAGGACTCTCAACCTTTTATATTGAACCACAGAGCCCCCAGGCCCCCCTGAGAGCCCTACAGCCTGCGGCAGAGCTTCCAGCTCTCTATAGTAAACCTCAACCTCCTGCAGTAGCCCACAGTGCCCTTAGGCCCACTGAGAGCCCTCCAGCCACCTGTAGAGCCTCCCCACCCTCCAGAGTGCCCCCCCAACCTTCTATATTGAACCACAAAGCCCCAGGCCCACTAAGAGCCTTATAGCCTGCTGCAGAGCCTCCCGCACTCCATAGTACCCCCGAACCTTCTATAGTAGCCCACAGTGCCCTTAGGCCCACTGAGAGCCCTCCAGCCACCTGTAGAGCCTCCCACCCTCCATAGTGCCCCCCAACCTTCTATATTGAACCACAAAGCCCCAGGCCCCCTAAGAGCCTTATAGCCTGCTGCATAGTACCCCCCAACCTTCTATAGTAGCCCACAGTGCCCCTAGGCCCATTGAGAGCCCCCCCCAGTCTACTGCAGAGAATCCCGCCCTCCATAGTGCCCCCTAACGTTCTATATAGAACCAGAGACCCCTGAAATCCCTATAGCCTGCTGCAGAGCCTCCACCCATCCATAGTGCCTCTCAATCTTTCAGAATGAACCACAGTGCTCCCAGGCTCACAAGAGCCCCCAACATCCTACAGTGCTATTTGGACTCCCATGGTAGCCCCCAGCCTGCTGCAGAGCTTCTAGCCCTCCATAGTGCCCCAAAAGTGTCCCACCATGCCCCCTCAACCTCCCACAGTGCTCCCCAGTCCCCTCCAGAAACCCTTTCCCCTGCAAAGCCACCAATTCTGTTGCAGAGTTCTCTCACCCACTCCACAGCCCTCTTCCCCCTTCAGTGACACCCAGCCACATCCAAAGTATCCTGGCATTTTAATAAATGTTTTGCATTCACATAATTTTATTGTGCGTGTATCAACTTTCTCCTTTACTGTTGGGGCATGGGAGTTTTGGAAGAATTTGCTGAGCCCTGGTCTCAAGAGGTTGAGAAACACTGGTTTAGCAGATAGAAATTCCCGGTGACACACTGACATATTAGTAACTCCTAGATAGGTCAAATAAATTTTCCGGTAGATAGGTAAAGTGAATTTTATTTATTTTTAATAGTTCTAGTTAAAAATCTGCTCATTTTGGTTTTCTTTGCATACTTCTGACACGTATTTTAGACTTTCATTATCCCCATGTTCCTGTGAGTTCACTAAGGTCTTGTGTAGGAGGGCCCCAGGAGTTAAGGAGACCCTGTCACCATCCTATACCAAGCCACATAAGATAGCAAGTAAAATGTACCATAAAAGGTACATGCACATGGCCATGTAAAAATACGGCTACTAGTACGCTGTGGCAAAATCTGGGTAGCAAGATCCTGTGTAAAATGTGCTCTGTATGCATGTAACATACAATAGGCATGCAACCTTCATATGCCTACAAGCGTACAGCCCATTAGTTGCTACTAGTACACTGGCGGCTGTTTCTACATATCTTCCATCCTTGTAAGGATGCAGGTGACAATTGATGCTTAGCCGCCTTCATTGCTAGGATGCAGGTAGCTATGGACATATAGTGCCCTTGATTGCCAACATGCAGGTGGCTATTGTGGTCTAGCATCCTCCATTGCTAGGATGCAGGCAGCTATTGCTGCCTAGCGTTTTCTGTGGTTTAGGACGCATGCGGTCATTGTAAGCCAACATCCCTCATTGCTGGGAACCTAGCGTCCTCTGTTGCTAGGATGCAGGCAGCTATTGCTGCCTAGCGTCTTCTGTGGTTAGGATGCATGTGGTTATTGTAAGCTAATATCCCTCATTGCTGGGAACCTAGTGTCCTCTGTTGCTAGGATGCAGGCAGCTAGCGTCCTCTGTTGCTAGGATGCATGTGGTTATTGTAAGCTAATATCCCTCATTGCTGGGAACCTAGTGTCCTCTGTTGCTAGGATGCAGGCAGCTAGCGTCCTCTGTTGCTAGGGTTTGTGGAGATTGGGATTTGAGATGCATTTGAGATCAGTATGAGATGCTCCTCAGTTCCTTCACAAGTTCTTCTGGCCTCCTTCTTGACCTTCACCACCCAAGCTGCTCTTGCAATTCCATTGACTTGTATTGAGAGGAAAGTGGTTCCGATTTAAGCCCATCCAAAAAAAAAAAAACAAAAAAAAAAAAAACGCTGTAGGGCAAGGGTGGACTGACAACTCATGGGGCCCCCGGGCAATAGGGGATTGTGGGGCCCGTGTCCTCGCCCACACCCGAAAAAGCCAATGAAAGGTACCAGGGGCATCTCATGGGGCCCTATACTGACCCCGGGCCCTCGGTCAGTACCGGAGTGCTCGAATGGTCAGTCCGCCCCTGCTGTAGGGCATTCACTCTGTCAAAATATATGGAAAGTTCGTACATTTCTATCCCAGTTCTACAAACTATGAATGGCTGTGAATGACCCTGTGGGACTTACAACTCTAAGAGCCTCTGTGAGATCAAATAAATATTGCCCAGTCATTTCCAATGACCAGAGAAAAAAATAAATAATTCTTGGTCTTACTTCTCTCCACCATGCTCCAAAAACACCATCAATTTTACATTTTTCTGGCACTTCTTGAAGCGTTCACCTTCCTATGATCTCTGTAATAGTACATTGCTCTTTGTTTTTCATGTGTTTGTTTTTCATTCTACGATTCGTGTTTTTATTGCCTCAAAATTAAAAACGAAATGTTTAACTTGTGTGAATTTCTTGGAAACATGATGGGAAACATGATGTAAATCTTTCATCTCCAAATGTAATACCAAAATTTGACAATAAAGATACATTTGGAATGATCTTATTGAAGTCAACTTTTTTTGGTTTAAAGAGGATCCTCAACCTTTCAGAATACTTTCCTCCTCTATCTTGCCTCCTCCTGCACTACACAGGTATCGGTCTTTTTGTTTTTGTTCTAAAAAAAAAAGGTCTTGGCCCACCCCCCACCTTCCGTAATTTGCCTAGGTGCCCCCAGTGCCTCTACGTCACCTGTAAATACCGCTAGCACTACACTCAATTCCATTCACCAAAGCAGGAAGAGATGGGCCCAGTGGCACGACAATGGGAGGAGGTGGCTGAACCTGGAAGAGCCTCCCTATTACGCCTCAGGAGAAGACAATAGGATCTCAGAGCGACAACACTGGATGTATGAATATCTTTCCTGTAAAGAACATCGCATCAGGTAAGCAGGGGGAAAAAAAATATAAATATATATATATATATACACACACATACATGGCTTCTTTTAGCAGGAATGTGGAGGAACGCAGTTCTGGCACCTCCAGTACTGAATCTATGTAATGGCAAGGGGTGTGAGGAGTGCAGGAGACTGGTTTGCTGGCTGCTGGAAGACTTATTGTCACTGGTGGGCATCTGTTTTTGTATGAGTGAATATTGTTGCTGGTGGGGGATCTATTGTTGCTGGGGGGGGTCTTATGTTGCTGATAGGGGGTCTACCAGCAGGGAAGGGTTGCTGGCTGCTTGGGGGTCTATTGA